CATTCGCCGTGCAAAGAATAATGCATGCTCCGCGTTAGACATCCACTTATCGCGATATCGCTGCTCGAATTTTCATCGGACTTTTACGGTTTACGCGCACCGCAAGTAAGTAGAATGATTTACCGCGAGATATGCGGATAATACTTTTATGCACGAGGAGCACCGTCGTTTCGTTAAAATTCCAGAATTTCTCTTAATCTCTCTGGATATAACAGCCTTACGGTGACATTCACGAGTAATAACGAACCAAGGGGTAATGCGAAAATTCACTGGTAATCCCGCATTTCGAGATATGAACGTACACTGCTCAGTTTTCATGCAACGAAATACATTTTTCACAAAATCTGAACTTATCCGTAAAATAGATATTACTTTGTATCTTTAACAAACTCGAACGATAAGACCCGAAGGTCCATGCTCATGCCTCACTTTTAACTAAAATCATTTGATATAGAGTTGATATGAAGTATATCTGTCTATCTGGGCATGGTTTGACCATGGTTACGTCGACATCCTTTTTGCGTTCTCACTTTTAACGTTAAAAGATGTCTTTCAGCCGCAGTCTTTAAATGGCTAATATACGTCTTTTAACATTAAAAGTGAATCGTAGATGTTCAATCATTCGACCATCAGCGAAACATACCGATCATTTGTCAACAATTAGGACCACGATTTCATTAATTAAATACGGAACTGTTAGGACTAATCTAATAATTATAACGCTAAATTTTGATTGGAATACTCTCTGCAGCGATCTAGGTGTTCTATTTCTTCCTTATTTCAAATTCCGTTTATTTTTCCTCGGGTCTCTCCATGTCATTCTAGCACCATTAATTCAGTAACGTATTATGCTCATAATTTAAATTGATGTATAAATAGAAACTCTAGCGCTTCGCTTTTTATCTACTACCGCGGTCCTTTAGCCCATGATTTGTTTACTTCTAGGAACTCATGGTCCTATAACCCATCTTTTTTATTCCCCACCGAAGCCTCCTTAAACATTAACTTTTCCCTTTCTCAGTCCTCATTAACCATTTGCCTTCGATTATAAATCCCACTTTTATTTCGCTATGCCTATCAGCGAACGCTTTGCAAAAAACTCCGCCCTAGAGGACAGCATCCGAAAACGCTTAATCCTTTTGTTACCTTGGACGAGATATCTCGCGACCCAATACTGGCCGATCAACGCTTTTGACGAGATATCTCGCGACCCGATACTGGCAGATCAACGCTTTTGACGAGATATCTCGCGATCCGGTAGTAGCGGATTAACGCTTTTGACGATAATCTAGCTTTCTAGCACCAATATTTTGACATTCTAGATGAATATATTTTATAACTAATTCTATTCGTATAGCTAAAAGGAAGAAATAAATACAGCTACTACCGGATCGCGAGATATCTCGTCAAAAGCGTTGGTCGGCTACTACCGGGTCGCGAGATATCTCGTCCAAGGTAACGAAAGGGTTAATCGCAAATTTTCCCCGAAAAGGCGCCCTCGGCGCAAGAAATCCGCGAAAAATCCGAAGATTTCGGCCCCCCAAAGTGACTTCGACACGCCTCATTACCCCTCCTCGTCCTACTCCGGGTTAGAAACGAGTTCCGTAAGCCTAGTTCCGAAGTCATACGAGCCGAAGATCGATCCGACACCTGTCCCGAGGGCTTTCGCCCCCGCGACGCGGCGGCGTCGAGACGTCGCGCGGCGTCCCGAGGCCAATCGGGGTATCGGCGAGGCCACCGGTCATCGTTTAGAAATAACCTCGCAACGATGATCGTTATTAAGCGCCGGCTGCCAGTTAGAGGCAGGGTAATAATCGATCGTAAATATAAGGAACGAGCTCGGCGAGTTGGGGCGGGGACGCATGTCGCCGGTCACCCCTATAAACATGCTAATGGCGGTTCCCGATAATAAGTCAGCGAGCCGATAGCGAGTCCCCCCGTGAGGCACCTGAGCTCTGCGGTGCACCTCCACCCCTGCCCGGCGGCGATCCTCGCTCTCGCGTTCGCGCGTTCGTCAGGACAAACAAGGGGGGAGCGTATCGAGAAGAGCCCGAGAGAGAACCGAGGAGAACCGGAGAGGATTGGAGAACCGAGGCGAAGAGGGGATCGACTGGCAAACCGTTGGCGCGCGAGCATGCTTTACCCGCCGATGCTTCGGTCGGGCCCGTCCGCGGGGGGGTCGCGGGGGAGGGGTTAGTAGCTCTTGTAACGCTATCGACCCTGTCGCTGTACATCACGTCGACACCATCCTAGTCGGCTCATTTCAGCGGGGAGGAGGAGGAGGAGTAGCTTCTGCGCCATTACTTCGGACGGTCGCTGGCCCTGCGTGCACCCGCGAATGCAGCTTGGATCGGAGAGGGGGTGTCCGGGCCCGCGGAAGCTGCCCAGAGGGGCGCCCGGGGGGACCGACGGCTCGACCTTCCGAATGATGGTGGGACTCGTGCCGGCTGGGGGGGCGAGGGGTCGGGCCCCGAGGGGGCACGACTCTCCTGGAATCCTGCAGGTTTTCCCACATAATCGAGAAACTCGAATTCTGGAAGGGTGCGGGCCCCTTCGGGCCCCGTCGGGCCCGGCGACGATTCAATCGACAAGGCCGATGGGCAGCGAACGAGCCAATTAGCTCCGTCCGAATGCTCAGGTACCTTATGGCGGGGCCCGACGGGGCCCGACGCGCGGCCGCGGACCCCGCGGGGACCGCGGGGCGTTATAAGTGACCTGGAAGGCTTCCGGCCCCGGCGGAGCGGGGACATTACGGGCCATCGGGGCCCGTCCGAGCCCCGGACGGGACAGGACGGGGCCCTATCTTATCCGCGGAGAAGTTTATAGCCCGGTCGACTCTAATTGGGCGAGAAATCATCGGGCACTCCTTTCTACTCCGAGCGGTCAAAGACGCCACTAATTCACGAGCGCGGCACCCCGGCCACGCAAAGGCGCCCCGACGCTCCCGGGCGGGGGTGCCGGCCCCGACGGTACTCCGGCGGTACTCTTCCGAAACCCCGCGAATTCGGGGCTGGTACCTACCTTCCCTGGTCCAACCGCGTGCCCGCCGCGTCCATCCGGACCTTCGGCCCTCGGTCCCGAGGACGCCCCTAAAGAATATCCGGGGGGCAAGTCCAGACGTTAACCTAATAGACTTCTTTATTTCGATGGAATAAAAAATAAATTACAGGCGAATAATATTAATCCACAGTCCTAAAGAACTTAACCGGATGAAAGGTGAAATATGCTTGATCGCGCTCGATCGAGATCGGGCCCCGGGTACCGTGGGTTCACCCGAGGCCCATTCCGATTCTGAAAATCCACCGGACCCGGACCGAGCGCGACTCCCACCGCGGAGACGACGACCGTCGCCGGGGTTCCCGGATGCCCGAAATCGGACCCAAGACGCGACGCACCCTCCGGATCGGGCCTCCCTTTCGGTGCGCGAGAGGCGCACAATTTATAAGGTAGGACCGGCGGGAAAAGGCGGCCGTCTCCCTCGCCCTCGCCAATATCTCATTGAGAAAGGAGGAGGTGACTTTAATGTGCCCCTCGTCTCGCGAGCAATCGCGGCGAGGCACCCGACGTGCCGGTAAGAGTAAGATCGTTAATCTTTCCGCGCCGATCGGTCTCAGATAGTAATTGTTACGTTCCCGTTCTCGCGCCTGACTGGCCGCTCGGGCCCGCTCGGCCGAGCGAGCTCGACGGGGCCCGGCCGGGCCCGGACCATCCTCGAGCGGGGCCCGGTTCTTCCTTTTGTGGTGGGAGTGCCGACGAGACCGCTCACCCACCACCGGTGTTAATGCCTTTGGCAAGTTTGTTCGCATTACAATACCGCCGATCCGTTTTCCCCACCCCGGTCGGCGGTCGGGCCCCGCGTGCGCCCCGGCGCGAACGGGCCGCATAAATTCGGGCCCGGGGCGCCCGGAGCGCCCGGAGCGCCCGATCCCCGAGCGAAACTTCGGGATTCTGGATTTTTATGCCGCTCGCCGTTTTAACGCCTCTTAACCGTCCTCGGCCGGTAATGTCCCCGAGCGGGGAACCTGTTTCGACCGCGGGGACTCATCGCGGGCCCTTCGAGTCCGTGGATCGGCTCTGCTCGGCGCGTCACGGATCGAATTCCCGACGCGGGATCGAGGACTGGTCCGAAGGTGGGAAGTCGGACGGACGGTAGTCGGTAGGCTCGTATTTACAAATCGTTCGTTTAAATAAAGGACTTGGACGGAGCGCGGGACGGGGACGACGTCGCTCGCTCTCCTTCCGTCCCTCCTGGGTGGACGCGCCGCCTTAAACTAGGTGCCTACGCTAGTGGTTCGCTAGGACTAGTTCTGGATAAGTTCCGCGCGACGGGAGCGACGGGGTTCGATCGGTTTCAGGTGTGGGAGGTACGAGAGCGTCCGGACGGCGGGGCCGCACCTGGACGATCGGCGGCGCGATAGCGACGCGCTCGAGATGGCCGGATTATTGCTTAATTAAGGTAAACCCGAGCCGAGGGACGGGACGTCGTCTTCTCCACCGGCGACCTCTGCGCCGATTCCGGGGGTTTAGGACCTCTATACTTAGGGTAGCATTAGTAGCGATAGCACTTACGGTTACGATATTCGTAGCGATAATAGGTACTAGAGATAATAGCCGTAAAGTAGAACCGGGACGGTGGTCGAATCGCGACGCGATGGACGCACGTTGCGTGAGCGTTCCTGCCGTTTGGTTGGCTTCCGCCGCGGACGAGAGCCCGTTGGGGTGGATGCTCGCGCCAGAACTCCATCCCCGACACCGGAGCAAGACGAGACGACTCGAGGCCCCGTTCCTTCTTCCTTTCTCCTCGTCCACCGAGTTGGTTCCTCTTGTCGGCCGCTCGGACCGAATCCAAACTCCGCCGAATTCCCATCCGCGCGAATCGTCATCGCCAACGTCCAAGGCGCCGGTTCCACGTCGGCTCGCCGGCCACCTCCGCGAGTCTTTCCGCGCCACCCCCACGGGGAGCGGTCGAAGTCGATGTCGCTCCGGGTCGACGTTTGTGCTCAGCGATCGTGCTTGGTCAGCTCCAGGGGCTGCTGGTCCGCCCAGTGATCCCGCCAGGCCATGGGAGTGGGCGAGGGCGCGTCCTGATCGGAGTCCTGGACGTCGATCTCCTCGTCCTCGTCGTCGGCGGACTCGGGGCCGCGGCCCCCGTCCGAGGGCGGTCCCCGGGCCCCCCCGGGACTGCCGGGGGGCGGCGGGCTGGGCTCGGGGTCGCCCACCAGCTGGCTGATCATGCGGAAGGCGCTCGGCTTCCGCTCGGTCTGCCGGCCGATCGGCTCGATCCTCTCGGTCCGCTCGAGCCGCTCGACCGCGCGGAACGCGCTATTTTCGCCGCCCATTCCGCCGATGGAGCAACCCGCCGTACGGCCGATATCCAACGTGGCCGCGGATGCGGAATGCGGTGGTTGCTGCGGCGGCAGCGGCGGCGGCGGTGGTGGCGGCGGCGGCGGCGGCGGCGAACGCTTTAAAAGGTTCATTCGCTGATGGCGCCGCCACTTTGCTCGTCTGTTGGAAAACCAAACCTAAGAGTCACGAGTTAGGTCGTTAGAAGTCTTGGACTTAGGCGGGCGAGAGTGGGCTACTCTCCGCAGAGTGTGGTCGCGCATCGGTTACCTGCACGCGCGCCTCCGAGAGCGACGTCTTCGTCGCGAGCCTCTCGCGCGTCGAGACGCAGGGGTAGTGCGACCTCTCGAACTCCTTCTCCAGCTCCTCCAGCTGCTCCGGGCTGAAAGTAGTGCGGTTCCGCCGGAACTTCGGCTGCTCCGATCCGTCCAGGCTGCCCTCATCGCCGTCTCCGTCTGTCGAGCGGGCACACCTTTGTTACGCGTCGATTTGGTAACAACCGACGAGGACAGCGATCGAGATTTTACTTTCGTTTCTGTCGCATTCGTAATATTCCGGATTCATGAATAAGGAGAAAATCTATCGTTTACCGCGAACGATTGCCTCAAACGTTTTCCCTGGTTTTTTCACACCCCCGCACGAGAAAAGAAAAAACGTTTGTCCGCTTAAGGTGAAGTGAAACACGTCGAGGAACTTGATCAACGTCGATAAAGATTTTTCTAAATGCCTACGTTGCCGCCGTTCGTTTTTATACTGACCGCTGGGTCGAATTATATTGGGTATTGTACCAAATGGCATACTCCACCTGTCGTTTTCGTACAATAATTATAAAGAAATCGAAGTAAAACTCCAGAAATCCTCTGAATTCGTGCCTTTTGGGGCCCTAATTGGCTGCAGAGGAACCCCCTGCGCCATTTGTGATTTCCACGTCCATTAAATTGTCACTACGAGACCTCGTATTCCCATCGTTTTGGCATAGAAGCGCATACAACACTTTTTTTGCCTTTATTCCGTTCAAATGCGAGTTTCTCGATTACCAGAGTGTTCTAAATTGTCGTAAAATTGTCCTGACCCTTTCGATTCTCATATCAGAGCCTTCGATAATTGTATATTGATAGAAATATGAGAGAAATAAGAGAGCCGATGGTCTCGGAGTGAAAATTTAATTCACCTGGAAATCACAGATGGCGCCGGGGGTTCCTCTACAGTCAATTAGGGCCCCAGAAAGCATGAATCCAGAGGATTACTGGAGCTTTACTTAGATTTCTTTATAATTATTGTACGAAAACGACAGGTGGCGTATGCCATTTCGTACAATACCCAATATAATTCGACCCAGCTGTCGATATAAAAAAGAACATCGGCAACGTAGGCATTTAGAAAAATCTTCTTTATCGACGTCGATCAAGTTCCTCGACGCATTTCACTTCACCTTAAGATATGTCGCACGAAGTAGAAGAATTACCCACCTTGGAGGTACCCCCTAGCGATGGCGTCGGCCGCGTGGAGGGCGTGCTCGGGGCTGCCGGCGACGGTGGCGGAAGCGGCGGCGGCAGCGGCGGCCGCAGCGGCCGCCGTGCCCGGACTCAGGGACGGCGGCAGCAGGAGGGCGGAGGCCGCACCGGAGATGCCGCCCGCGAGGGGCGGCAGCACCCAGGGGTGGGCCCCGGCGGCAGGGCCCGGCCAGCCGCCCGGCAGGTGGTGCGACGAGGAGGGGTGGTGGTGCGCCGAGTTGAAGTAGGGATGTGGTCCGGCCGCGTAGAGGCCGTAACCCGCAGCCCTGGCGAACTCCGCGGCGGCCCGCTCCGCCGCCCGGTTCCTCAGGATGCGGTTGATGCTGCTCACCGAGGGGGCCGTCGCGTTGCTGCACACCCCTGCGGACCAGACCCGCGGAACCGAGTTACATACACACACCGATGGCTCCAGTCGGCGAGGGATCTCGGGGTAGTAATGAGCTCGCTGTGCCCGTAATCGACTAGTCCGACTAGTCGACCTCGCCGATCGAACCAGTCCAACGGGTGAAGCACCATTTTCAATGAGAGCGCGATGCTTTGCCCAGCCGCGGTGCAGGGAAAGCACTTTTATGCTCCGCGGTGTGAGACCAAGTGGTGTTGGGTACCATGAAACGACGATACACGGTGGAATAATGGAATGTGGTGGGGTGCGTCTTAATACCGTGGATTACGGCACGGTATATCGCGAATCAAAGCATTTCGACCCGGTGCAGTCGTTCAGAAGTGTACGCAATGTAGATGCGTCCTGAGCGCGATGACTGCTGCAAGATACCGAGATGGTGGTTGAATTGTCTAAGGGGTGCTTTTCCCCCTGATTTCCAGCGCCTCATGTATCGCGTAGAGAGGATGCGATGGGCATAATCGTCGTTCAGTTTTTGAGAATAAACCTATCTACCCCGACGACTCCAAACAGGGTCATGCAGCAATTACCGACGCTACTGTATATTCGTAACGATCACAACTTGGTTTCACATCGGTGCTCTAGAAATCACTTTAAGGTGATATGTTACCTCGAGGAACGGAATCGCGGGCACTTTTCCTGGGACACGTTTCTAAATAAGGGTAAATGTTCCCTAGTTTGCGGAATATCGGACCGCCTGGGGAGAAAACGAGCAAACGAGCTCCCGAGTCGCTACCGGTCGGAGATCATACCTTCGGAGATGAGCCGCTCCCTGATTTCCCAGGCGAAGATGGTCGGGTTCTCTCTCTTGTACTGCTCGATCTTGGCGACGACCGCGGGAGTAGCTACCTTCGGCTTGCTTCCGCCTATCAGGCCCGGTGGACGCAGGGTACCTGCAACACGAAGGGTCCGTTTTTGAGCTCTTGGGTTCGCCCGGCCATTACTTACGCTCCTTACGTAAGCACCGGGTCCGCCCAGGTACGTGCCCGGCTGGTAGCACGCGTACCTAAGGGCCTAACCTGCCCGATCATAGGCATTACGATCGACCTGCCGAGCTACCGGAGAGTAGCGACCGGATACCGACCGGATACCGGCCGGACATCGGACAGGTACCCTCCAGGTAGGGTCCGGGCACCAGCGAGGTCTTCCTCGGGGGCATCGGGCCTCGATTGCAGGACCTAATGCCCCCGAGCACGAGATCCCCGGACCTTTGATGCTCCTCGTACCTGGATCGACTCACGAATCAATCGTTTTATCCTTCGAATCCGGTATTAACAAAAAACTTAATCGCTATGGGTGGGATAAATACCACTTGTAAGAGTATTACTTGTAAAGTAGTGTCGGGGAAAGGCGTAGGCGAGGACGTGAGCAGGAACGAAGACCTATCACGTGGAGAAGGCCAAGCGGGAAAGTTGCCGGTAGCTCGATATTGCATTTTCACGGATTCAAGAGAGTGTGTTTTCATTTTGTATTTGGTGATGTTAAGATTGGATTTGTTGATCGGTCTGCACGAGATGTTTTACCGAGTTGGATGTTGTTGGGTCACGATCCAAGAAACGCAACGCGGCTATGGGAGAACGGGTCGATATAATCGAACGCCTTTGCCTTCAGACTTTAAATCATGTATTTAGATTAGAGGGATGGTTGGGTATACGTGTATAGATAATATGCCGTAGAAGCCGACAAGATTTGTAAATACCGTTTAGGTCTTTAAGCTCGATCCGTTCGATCTAATAATTGAATTGAATTTCCTGTTTACTCTGTACTCTACCGATCGGTGACGTCAGGAATCGGCAAAACTCAGTAAAAATCCCAGAATGACACGTGAGATTGACTCGTCAAGCTTCGGCAGTGACGCTCGAAGGACAACCGAAGGTAAAGATGTGCGTGCAGGAACAACGCTCAATTACGCAGGTAGGTATTAGGCATTAGGTATTCAAAAGTTCCTTTTTGCACGGCTGCGTTTTTCCTGAGCATTGATTAAATAATCAATTTTTACTGCCGCAATTACAAGAATGTATACAATTACCGAAGCTGGGAATCGAAACTCAATAAAATGGCGCACTTGCGGAAACTACGTGTTTCGATGGGCCGCTTTTCTAGTTACACCTTTAGATCTTTGGATAGGTCTTATCATTCCTGCTTTTATACCCCCAATCACTAAATGAAAAGGGTCCTCGGGTTAGATCCGAGGATGGAAATCGAAGTCTCCAAGATTACACTTGTTGAATGCATACGTTGCGGTGGACGTTTCAGAGAAGTATTGCTGGAGTCATATCATAGATTGAGACTTGACTCGATGGTAAGACGCGCTCGTAGAAATGACACAATGTAGTCAATGTTTCAAAGAAGCATTTCTTTGGTCATATCTGTACATTTTTCTTGGATATTTTGCATCCGCTTCTGTACATTCAGTGACTAATCCGACACACTTGTTTTACATAGAGTCTAAACATAGAGCTGAAAGCTTCGATTGGTAAGCTTGTTCACAGAAGCTACACCGAAGCAAATCTTTCAATTTCTATTCGATGCCTCTCGTTTGCATTCCTATGTAGCTAATCTTTTCGTTGGTTATATATTTATTTTTAATGATATTTATAAGTTTCGTACTTATGGCCTCAGTCTGAAGGCTTTCTTACAAGAGCTAGGCATTGAAGCAAATGTTTTATGGAGGTATTTCTGCACGGTCATATTTATCAATTTTCATATAACTCTTCTACGGAAACCACATATCGGAACAATTGTGTAAAAGAACCATCTTCTAGTTGTACCTCATTCGTACATTCAATGGTTAAACGCTCTTGATTTGCGCGGGCTTCGAACTTGGAATTCGAAGTCTCACGCTGAAAACTAGATCTTGCAGAATACATGCACCGAAGTAAACGTTTCAAAACAGCATTTCACCCGTCATGTATGTAAATTTTCCCTCGATACATCTCATTTGCATTCGGGTGTTCAATGGCTGAACACTTCATCGACATTCTCGTTTCACGTGGGATTCGAAATAGAGACTCGAAGACTCGAAGGTTTACTTGTAGAAGCCACGCACAAAGATACTAGTTTTAAAGAAGCGTTTCTCCAGTCATATCTGTAAATTTTCCTTCGAAACATCTCATTTACTTTCGAATGTTAAATGGCTGAGCAAGTACTCGGCACTCTCGTTTTACGGGTAATCCAAATTTGGAAGCCTTGGTTCGAAGCAACCCTTGTATCAAAGTAAACGTTTCAAACAAGCATTTCCCCCGCCATATCCGTCAAAATTCTTTGGACATATCTAATTTGCATACGGTATGTTCAATGGCTGAGCAAGTAATCGGCACTCTCGTTTTATGGGTAATCCAAACTTGAAGCCGAAGCCTCGGTTCGAAGGTTCTTTTACAGGAGCCACCCATTAAACTTAATGTTTCAAAAAAGCATTTCTCCAGTCACATATGTAAATTTTCCCTGGAAATATCTCATTTATTTTCAAATGTTGAATGGTTGAGCAGATGTTCTTGTATAATTCAGACTACGAATCGAGAGCCTTGATTCAAAGGCTCTCTTGCAAGAGTCGGGCATCAAAGTAAACGTTTTAAACAAGCATTACCCCAGTAATATCCGTAAAAATTCCTTGGACATATCTAATTTGCATATGGTACGTTCAATGGCTGAGCAAGTAATCGGCACCAATTTTACGTGTAATCCAAAGTTGGGATCGAAAGGCTCGGTTCGAAGGTTCTGTTTGCATATAGTATGTTCAATGGATGAGCAAGTAATCGGCACTCTAATTTTACGTGTAATCCAAAGTTGGGATCGAACGACTCGGTTCGAAGGTTCTGTTTGCATATAGTATGTTCAATGGCTGAGCAAGTAATCGGCACTCTAATTTTACATGTAATCCAAAGTTGGGATCGAAAGACTCGGTTCGAAGGTTCTGTTACGTTGAGCGTCGCTCGGCGATGACGAGCAAGACGGTTCGCCGCGTCCAGACACTCGGACCCGCTCGCAACCTAATGAAAACCAGAGGCGCAGGCAGACCTGAGCAATTATCGGTCGTTACGTACTATTATTAATAACAATAATGATGCTAAAGCCGGCAGGGTATCGCGTGCGCTCCCACGGGTGAAGTGCGTGCCAGGTATAAACGATGTACCCACCTAATAGGTATCCATGCCTCGAGCAAATTCCAAAGTCCCGACTCGTGTTCCTTTGTTTGCTCGTACCCCGAATAAAATTTCGAGGCGCGTATTTAATAAAAGAAACCGCACACGCACGGTTAGGCGGCATTGTGCGTCCCCGGATGAAGACGAGCCGCGAAGAGGACACACGCTCCGGAATCGGAAGAAAGCGATCGCGTGTCGGACCCGCGAAATTTCCCCCAATTGCCCATTAATAGAGCGCAAATTCAGGATTTGAATTAACCCCTCAAAGTCTCACAAAGTAAGCCAGGCCGAAGCTTGCAGATTTTGCACGCGTTTCAGCGGTTGGACGCGTCTCACTTCTGCAGGGACGTCATATGGCTGTATTTGTAGAAAGGTTTTTCGATTTTCTTTTTTCACGGCACTTTCAGAAGACCCCTTTAACGCGGTTTAACCCATCGGTATTGACGACACATATATATATTTTTTTTTTCTTTTAGATTCTACTCGCGAAAGGCTAGATAAATCGTACGATGTGTTCTATTGGGGTAAAAATTGGATAGACCTACGTTCACTTTTTTAAATTCATTTACGATGACCGCGTCGCAAGAGTGATTTCGGTCTTGCCATTTATAGCAGCAATGAATTGTTTAAAACAGATCCGATCTATAAATAGATTATGGAATAATTAAAAAATAAACACATATACACACATAAATACATATATTTAAAAATAAACCGTGTCGCGTCATAATGTCAGAATTTTTAAGTATACGAACTGCTTCAGAGGAGATTGGATATCCCGGTGATTTTTAAGGGTGCTTTTGTTCTCACGCGAAGCGAAAGTATGTTAATTCCAGGCGATATTGATCTCCCCAAGATCTGTTTCAAGAGGGTCATCGGTTTCTCAACGGCACAAGAGAGGAATGCCGACCACTACTCTTTCGTCCGAGGTAATTTTTGAGTGACAGTTACAAAAAAGGGAGTCTTTTGCCCCGGATCGGGAGCCGCGAACTTAATTAATACACGAGGCTCGCGTTCCAGTAACTTCATCACGCGATTTTGGACCGATTTCTGGAGAAAAGGCCAGTAGTCGAACCAATCTACTGACGATCATTTTCATGTGCATCCATCTCTTAATCAATTCCTTGTAAATCATCTTACATCATTGTACATTATAGTACACCACAGGGTCTGCGCACAATTCATCCCCGACATAAGAATCTGAACTTTAAATATCTAAAATTATACACGATCCGTTGATATCTCATATGATTATTTATGAAATATCATCCTTTTAAGTATTGGCGTCATCTCACCCATGTTAAAGTTCTACCTCAATTATTTATGAAATATCATCCTTCTAAGCATTGGCGTCATCTCATCCATGTTAAAGTTCTACCTCAATTATTTATAAAATATCATCCTTCTAAGTATTGGCGTCATCTCATCCATGTTAAAGTTACACCTCAATTATTTATGAAATATCATCCTTCCAAGTATTGGCGTCATCTTATCCATGTTAAAGTTCTACCTCAATGGCCACGAATTAAAGAACAACCGAAGAAATCATTACCGTCATTTCTAACTTCCCCATTACACAGAAAAATACCTTAGCACATAGAACCGTACTTACACATACATTCCAGCAGATCAACAAATTCCGCCCTTCTCAAAGAAGGTAAAAAATTCTAAACAAAACCTACCCTTTTAACGAACACGCCCTACAATACCCCGTCCCGTTTCTTCCCTCCATCTACGGACTCAAACCGGTCGTACAAATTATTGTTTAAGGTGAAGTGAAACACGTCAAGGAACTTGATCGACTTCGATAAAGATTTTTCTAAATACCTACATTGCTGACGTTCGTTTTTATATTGACAGCTGTGTCGAATTATATTGGGTATTGTACCAAATGGCATACTCCACCTGTCGTTTTCGTACAATAATTATAAACAAATCGAAGTAAAACAAATTTTCACTCCGAGACCTCGTATTCCCATCGTTTTAGCATAGAAACGCATACAACACTTTTTTTGCGTTTATCCCGTTCAAATGCGAATTTATCGGTTACCAGAGCGTTCTAAATTGTCGTAAAATTATCCTGACCCTTTTGATTCTCATATCAGAGCCTTCGATAATTGTATACTGATCGAAATATGAGAGCTCGACGCCATGTTGGTTTTGGTCTGGGCTCAGTTAAAAAATTTTTTCCAAAAATCTAAATTTTCAATGTGTCAGGATAATTCTTAGATGATCAAGTGATCAAGTGATGTGTCAAAGTTTCGGGCAGTTTGGTTTAATACCCTTAGAAAAATGTGTTGTATTCGAATCGACTGATTTGAAGGAGGTATCGCTTCACCTTAAATCTCGAAAATCCCGATCCATTGCCACGTTTCCCCCACCTTCCCCAAGCCTCGAGCAGTCGCGTAAAATTTTGGTAAAATCACGAAAATCGAAATCCGAGCCTACTCGTCCTGGCGATCGGGGCCCTTCGGGATTAATTGTCCCTCGCCGTTAAGTAATTGGCCGGCGATTATGGTACATTATATTTACCCCCGCGAGGCTAAGGAGTTAGTATTTTTAAAATGAAGACATTAACGCGAGGTGAGCACAGGCCGAACGGTATTTTTACGAGCAGCTCGTAAAGTTAACGAGGAGCGAGCCGAGCCGGGCCGCTCTGGTCGGACGGGCTCCGGGGCCCCTCTAGGTTGTTGCTGGCGTTGCTGGCGTCGCTGACGTTGCCGGCGTTGCTGCCGACGTTGCCCATGCCGGTCATGCTGCCGATTCTTCTTTCCGTGCTGCGGTGGCTCCGCCAGATTTTTATTACACGCTCGCTCGCCTTCCCCGAAAGCGCCCGCTCGCAAATTCCTGCCCGGGCGCGACTCCGCTCGGCCGAGAGGAAACTTCGAGAGGCCTCTTCGAGTCAAAACTCGTGAGCCACCTGCGAGTCGAAGATCGAGATCCCGATTGCCGATCGTCGATCGTCGATCTTTAGAGGCACGGGACTCGCCAAGGAGCCTGCGAGTGCATCTCGAGGGAGACCTTTTGGGACTCCGATCTACCCTCAAGTCGTGAAGGTGAAGTGAAACCCCCGTCAAATCAGTCGATTCGAATACAACACTTTTTTTTAAGGGCAAAAGACCAAACTGTCCGAAACTTTGACACGTCACTCCTGATCATCTAAGAATTGTCCTGACACATTGAAAATTTGGATTTTTCAAATGAATTTTTTAACTCAGCCCAGACCAGAACCAAAATGGCGTCGAGCTCTCATATTTCGATCAGTATACAATTATCGAAGGCTCTGATATGAGAATCGAAAGGGTCAGGACAATTTTACGACAATTTAGAACACTTTGATAGTCGATAAACGCACATTTGAACGGGATAAGGGCAAAAAAAGTGTTGTATGCGCTTCTATGCTAAAACGATGGGATTACGAGGTCTCGGAGGGAAAATTTAATTGACCTGGAAATCACAGATGGCGCAGGGGGTCCCTCTGCAGTCAATTAGGGCCCTAGAAAGCATGAATCCAGAGGATTTCTGGAGTTTTACTTCGATTTCTTTATAATTATTGTACGAAAACGACAGGCGAAGTATGCCATTTTGGTACAATATTCAATATAATTCGACCCAGCTGTCAATATAAAAACGAACATCGGCAACAGGGGCATTTAGAAAAATCTTCTTTATTGACGTCGATCAAGTTCCTCGTCGTGTTTCACTTCACCTAAAACCTTCTCTTTACGAGGGCGGGTTTTGCGCCTTTAGCGCCACTGGCGTTTTAGTGATATTAAGAGACTCGGTAGAGTTTCGTGCCATATATATAGCACGAAACTAATATATATATATGTTACACTTTCATATCACCTTAAGCCGACGTAGATTAAGGAAAAAGCAAAAAATCATCAGTGCATTCGGAATATATCGCCACCTTCAGTTTCCGCGTACGATTGGCATATCTACTCAGAAGGGGTTTAGCAGGTTTAACTACGAGCAAATTAGATCTTTAGAGAGGAGTTACGAGATTTTCATCGCGGACAAGTACGTTAATTCGTTCCTCGGAGGAAACTGAGTTACGGCACTTTCAGACCAACGTAAAAACTCACGTCTTGCTCCTTAAAGCCTATTGACACGCCTTTAACTAGAGATCTTGTACAAGCTTCGTGCACGCGTACGTTTCTTGTGCCAAACCATAAACGTACCGTATGAACATGCATTTCCATTCTTCCACGTAACACTAATAATGCCGCAACTAGCAAATGTACCTACTAAACGAATATTTAAAGCCACCGAATTAAAATGACCATTTCCCTTCCTCCTCGATACTCCGAAAGAAAGTTCTCATTCCCCAGTTTTACATTAACGTCGGAACTATTTCATACGAAATACGTTCCTTTTCGTTAAAAGTCACGGGTATAATTTAACAACTGCGCTTAAAATGAAATGCCGTATACAAAGCAATTCTCACCGTTTAATGCGTTTCCATTAAGGTGAAGTAAAATACCCTTCAAATCAGTCGATTCGAACACAACACTTTTTTTTAAGGGTATTAGACCAAACTGTCCGAAACTTTGACACATCACTCTTGATCATCTAAGAATTATCCCGACACATTGAAAATTTGGATTTTTGGAAAACATTTTTTAACTCAGCCCAGACCAAAGCCAAAATGGCGTCGAGCTCTCATATTTCGATCAGTATACAATTATCGAAGGCTCTGATATGAGAAACGAAAGGGTCAGGACAATTTTACGATAATTTAGAACCCTCTGGTAATCGATAAACTCGCATTTGAACGGGATAAAGGCAATAAAAAGTGTCGTATGCGCTTCTATGCTGAAAAGATGGGAATACGAGGTCTTGGAGTGAAAATTGAATTGACCTGGAAATCACAGATGGCGCAGGGTGTCCCTCTGCAGCCAATTAGGGCCCCAGAAGGCATGAATCCAGAGGATTTCTGGAGTTTTACTTCGATTTCTTGATATTTATTGTACAATACCGACAGGTGGAGTATACCATTTGGTACAATATCCAATATAATTCGACCTAGCTGTCAATATAAAAACGAAAGTCGGCAACGGAAGCATTTAGAAAAATCTTCTTTATCGACGTCGATCAACTTCCTCGACGTGTTTCACTGCACCTTAAATCGCCCCGATTAAGGAGTCTCCCGAGAAGAGGCAGCCAACGTGAGCCCGTTTCGGGGATCGCTAATCGAATGAGTGGCAATCGGTTCTAGAGGTTCCCCGTGCCGTAAATTTGGGGTGCGTAGCGACCTGTTCCGCCTTACGCCTTAAGTGTTACGGCTTAACGCGTGAAGGTGTTAACGCGTTAACGCGACCTCGCGCGCCCGAGGATCCTATCCGGTAGGTAGCGACGAAGAGGACGAACTCACCTAAGAGCTTGGTCACGACCGCGCCTTGCTGATTTAACGATAGAACGTGATTAGCCAGGTCGTTGTAGTGCCTGAGCGCCCCCAGCCCATGGGACAACTCCAGAAGACGCTGCCTGGAGGCGCCACCGTTGCTGCCGCCCAAAAATTGACCCGACGTGCAGTTCTGCAGACTCACACCTGAAAAAAACCGTGTCTCAGTCAGCCAAGGTGCGACATTTTCATGGACATAGGATATACGGAGCTTGCACATTGATCTGTCTACGAGGGTGGACAAATTTAAGGAGAGAGGACACAGAGGCTATTAATTCGCTCTTTCTTTCCCGATATGTGAGACAGGTGCGCGATACAGTATGACAAGAGTTAACTACGAGAGGGTGGAGAAGAAGGAATATCCCCTCTGTTCTCCCTTTTTCAGAATTGATGCCTTAAGGGGATGTGGAAACGGCATCCGAAAGCTGAATCGTTCATCAAACTTTTCTACGAAGTGGGTTTCTCAAATCGTTTCATACTTCAAAACGTGAATATGGAGACCCTAAGGTAGGTCCTTATTGCGACTAATAATTGCATAATGCAACATAGGGCCACCCTATCTAATAGCAAGAGGGAGAAAGGGAAATAACAGCCCCTCTATTCTTCATGTTTCCATTTTGCTACTTTCACGAAAAGGCCAAGGGAATGTTTAGATTCTCGAGATCCATGTGCCTTACGTCCGCAGGTTATTCGCCTCCTTATTACACATTTAACTCCGATTCTAAAGCTACAAGTCTAAATCCATCTATTTGTAATATTTATAATTTTATTGTTCAACAACAGGGCTCAGAATAATTTTTCGCTGTTTTAGAGTTGGATTCGAGGCTTTTGAGATAGCAAGACAATTAAACGTGCTACAGGGTTTACAGAAATACACGGTTCCATGAAACATTTCATGTATTCTAGGAAGGAAGTAGAACAAATGTTTCTATTATAATATGTAATTTTACCAAAGTATAATATGTAAGTATAATATGTTATTTTTTTGTTTATATAATATGTAATTTTATGTTGCTACTTTACGTGTTGATGAGAGCATGGGATTTAAAAAAGGGATATTCTCTTTCGGAAGAGTAACTAAGAGGACCGGATGATCAAGGAAATTGAGTTGAAATATTGATGAGCATGAATCTTCGTCATGCGATAACGAATACTCGTCGTTTAAGTTTCAATTTGAGTTACGTGCTTATTACTTATCGATACGTACAAGTAATGATGCACGTTACGTTAGTTACGTCTCTTTTGTATATGACTACAAATATCAGAAGAGAAAAGCCTCGTTATATCTACACTTATCAGGATTACACCTCATATCAAGAAAAGTATAATCACATGAGTAATAATCCAACTAGCTTAGCTCTAATAGTTTAAATTATAATTTCTTTACACGTCTACTAAGCCATATAAATCACCGTTCCCAAGTAAATTTACTTGCTACAGGAATGACAAAAGTTAAATAAATCAATATTGCAAAGGAGGAATTAACTTACAATCAAGTAATTAATGCTCAGAGTGTCGCTAAAAAAAGCACGCCTCTCCATATTGCGTAGGTTTGCAGAGCATGAATATTTCAATAGCTGGTAATCGTTCGGGTCTTAAAAATAAAAGGGGAATGTTGAAGAGTTAATTGTAGATGGTTTGCGCAGGTTGTTAGTATGACCTATGGAGGGGTGAAACCTGCCACTTTGTTGTTACCATTGTTCCCCGCTTTGTTTCGTTATCGATGTTGCTGCAACCCACTCTCGGAGAATTTACCGCGGAAGAAGTCATCTCGGCTATATTTTAACCACCGATATGGAGTGGAGAAAGAAGGCCTCAACGATGCTTTCAGAGCCATAAATTCACGTAGAAATGTAGCTTACGACACCCTAAACTGAGGTAGCGTGAGCGATATCAACGCATCTAGGGCTATAAGTCATTAATTTAAATAAAGATTTTCTCGTACCGTCAAAATAATGGCTACAAGGCTGATAATGAATTCGGCAGTGCTTTTACGACTTGCATTAGTTTACATCTTACCACAAATATATCCGTGTCTTTGGTGCTACGTATATAAGTATGTACCAAAAGAACACTGACTTCAAGGTTTTGGACTTTAATTTACTAATCTTGAGTAGAAGTCGTACTACATGTAATTACAATATTTATAGGCATAAGCGGTAGGCGCACACATGTTAAGAAATCTAAACTAATAAATCAAAGCATGGTCCTAATAGTTTTGCCTAGGTGTTAACGTAGAATTGCTACAGTCAAGCAGATGGAAATCTGCATTTTTTACAGGGGTAGAAAGACGCGTGGAATTGAAAAATATGAAATAAAATAAGCGACAAGCGAAATGGACAGCGTAATATTTTGCAGTTATTATATAATATTGAAAGATAAAGCTATCGTATTCATTATATCTATAAAACTGTTCCTTTGGAGGAAACGTTAGCTTGTTGCCAGCGCATTTAAATAGTTAACATAAATTGAAAACCTATCTGGGCAGACCACTAGTCATTAAGTACCAGTTTGAATGGATCCTAGACTTTATAGAGGTGTTACTCGAAACATTATCCTCCAGTAAACTTTCCTTATCACGAAGTGAATTCAATGACCATATTTTTGTATTAAATCTGAAATACGGTCGTAACAAATCTAACTAAATTGGAAAAGGTCATTTATTTCTGTATGCACAATATCAGTAATGATAGACTTAACAATCTACCGAATTGAAATAAACCTATCAGTTATTCAGAAGTCTAAGCTAGTATAAAGTACTAGATATTTTTGCATGATCTTTTACCAATTAATAACTAATGAAAATCGATTCCTTTTATTCGTTTAAGTAGTCGCTCATTTAACAGCGTCGAAACTTTTTAAGATACTTTAATAATCATAAATTCCTGTCATGTACGCAGATACGCGAATAAAAATGTACCTGCGTACACGTTTAATTTTTCTACTCATCTTTCTATTTGACAATTGTCCCCAAAGATTGGAAAGGTGTAAAGATCTCAATCGCAAAGTTGCCCAAGCCAAGTCGGTAGAGCATGCCGATGCCAAGAGCGTGGCAGTTAAATATGCCTTCCGCACGCACGTTTTGCATACGAGTCGTTCGGTGCGATTAATCAATTGGTGCGTAGTGATCCACAGGATCTATCGGCGATTTCGCAGCAATCGATACAAGTCATTAATCCGCAACCAGTAGCGCGCTTCACCAATTTATTCCCAGTAATTAGTGTCGATCGTCGATTCGCTTTATCCAGGATTTATCGCCGGTTCTCGTTCAAGATTGCCACGGTATCGCCCCCGCAAACGTTATCACAACCGATTCAAATGTAAGGCGCTTTCCGATGAAATAGACAGCACGAGGAGAACCCGATAACCTGACCAGTTATTCCCCCAGGACGTATCAGTCCACAATTTTAGATAACTATTTGTCAATACCATTACGTCCATAACTACCCCATAACGGATTGACACGTAAAAGAAACAATTTTTCATCAACATATAAACATTAATATATAAACATATAAGCATATGAACCATAAATTTCAAAAGTGTTCATACTTTCAGGCATCCATATAGAGACACTAGTTCAAAACCATTTCGTTAATACAAGAGAAATTAATAAATAAATTTATGAATTTGCATTCTTTCCATTTTACGTTTCTTTAAAGCAACCTCAAGGCGGGAAATTTCTATAAAGAAACGTTTAAAGGACACATATAAACACTAAAAATTTGCATATAAACCACCTAAATTTCAAAAGTGTTCATACTTTCAGGCATCCATATAGACACACTAGTTCAAAACCATCTCGTTAATAAAAGAGAAATTAATAAATAAATTTATGAATTTGCATTCTTTCCATTTTACGTTTCTTTAAAGTAACCTCAAGGCGGGAAATTTCTATAAAGAAACGTTTAAAGGACACATATAAACACTAAAAATTTGCATATAAACCACCTAAATTTCAAAAGTGTTCATACTTTCAGGCATCCATATAGAGACACTAGTTCAAAACCATTTCGTTAATACAAGAGAAATTAATAAATAAATTTATGAATTTGAATTCTTTCCATTTTACGTTTCTTTAAAGTAACCTCAAGGCGGGAAACTTCTATAAAGAGACGTTTAAACGACACATATAAACACTAAAAGTTTGCATATAAACCACCTAAATTTCAAAAGTGTTCATACTTTCAGACATCCATATAGACACACTAGTTCAGAACCTTCTCGTTCATACAAGAGAAATTAATAAATAAATTTATGAATTTGCATTCTTTCTATTTAACGTTTCTTTAAAGTAACCTCAAGGCGGGAAACTTCTATAAAGAGACGTTTAAAGGAAAGGAGGTTAATGCTACCACTTATCAGTTTTGTTAAATACCGACCACTGAACGTCGGAAACGTTCGGAATGCGTACCACCACGATGGTCAATAAGGCGACCCTGAACGCGCCCACTATATTATAGTGTCCGGGTTATCTAGAACGTATAATTTCCGGATTTTGCATGTACGCTGCTAGGTAGCCAATCGGAGGCTCGCCTTTTAAGTGGTGTTCGAGAGGACGACTCTATGATTTGTCTTCGCGTACTAGGTGCGTAAAACACGCGGACTGCGCGTTCCGTACCGTCGGGATGACATGTACTATATCGCAGTACTGAATTTACGAGGATATTAAACTTCGACTCCTTGTTTCTAAACAATATGATAGTCTCTACCGTATCGAGACAAAGTATGGGTAAAGCAGGGTGAAACTGGTGGCACTTTTCTAACACGGATGCATCACATAAAATACACACACAGTAGGGAACAACTATTCACAGTTTATGAAACAAGGTGTTGATTGTCTTGCAGAATTAGGAATAATTTCCATTATTACGGATACAGTGTTTTTAGCAGATATGTGCCACCCGATCGATTTTTAGTCACGTTTACCTATACGCTCCGAGGTAAAGTCTGCAATATTCTTTAAATATTGAACGATTACACACTGAAACGTAAACGACGCGGTTTATAGATAATATATAGGTAACTTAAAAAATGATAATCTCGCCGATTTTGATCAAAATGAAGAAACGAATGCATGATATTGCAAATGGCACGTTTACATTCCTTGTAGCCTCAGCGACGGTAGCCATTAAATTCCTAATGCA